TTGTCTTTTCTTAGTAGTGCTTGTACTGTAATCTATGCTTGATTTTGCACTACTTGTTAATTTTCTTTCTGTCCGTTTTTGGTACAAAGGATCAGCAAAAAGAGTTTTTTTGTTTAATTTATTTGTTATATTAACAGTTAATTATAACCTATAATATAATAATTTATTAGTTTTAACAAAAAATTAGTATAAAAAATTTAATAAAAAATAGTTGTTTTTTTTTTTAAAAAAAAAATTATAAAAAATTTTTCTCCAAATGTTTGATACAAAATGTATTTGTATGTTACATGATCATCTACGTTATGCTAATTTCGTTACATTATGCTAATTTTGTTACATTATGCCGATTCTTTGCATTACACCGATTTGCTACTTTTATATTAATTTATTATATTTTTTAATTTAATTTCCTATTTTTTTTAATTTATTTAATAAATAATCGATACATATCATATACGTACCACATATGTAGGTCACATGACCTCGATTTTTGTGTCAAGACCTATTTTTGCGGGAATGCGAATTCCCGAATGTCATGTGACTTCGCCACTTGGCGGAGTTTAAAACTCTGATTCGGCAGGCCAATTTTACGAGAGCGCGAAAAGGCAAATTTTATATAATCTTGCCACTTAATCAGAGTTTTAAATCTCTGATCCAATTGAGATCTCGTGAACGACTCTGAATTTTTAGGGGTGGGTGAGTGGGAGAGGTGGTGGTTAAGAATTTTAACCAATTTTAAAGGGTGGGTGGGTTGGTGAGGTAGTAGCCTAATATTTAATAATTATAAATATCATACTTCTGCCTGCTTACGTAGGCAGAAGTGTAATATTTTTTATTTAATAACTGAGACTCGCACTTTTATGTAGTGTAGATTTTCTTAAGTAATTTTATTATATATGTTGTACGTTAGAATAGAACTTAGAATCAAGATAAGTTAATTCAATCTACTTAAATCATTAAAGAATTCTGAACTAAAAGTTCAACTTAGCGCATATTCAATTTTAACATTATAAGCATTTGAATTCAATTTAAACAGCAATACATTGTAAAGCTATTTACTAACCATACATTATATTTTAATTACACTAATTATTACAAACATGATTATTGCAACTTCCTCGATATAATCTTGCTTTTTTACATTTGCAGTGATTTATATCACCTATTTGTGGTACTAATCATGCTTGTAAAGCTTCTTTGAAGAAATTATCCAATTCAGATTAGAATAAGAAAATTTAGCATATATGACAGATAGAACTAGTCATTGAAACTAATCAACTTGAACTCGATTAAGGAATTTATTAGTGACGATTGGTTTTGCCACAACTGATCGAAAAAATTTCATTTTGTATACTTTAACGAATGATCGTAAAATGTAACTAAATATATATATTAAATTTGTTTTTAATTTAAAGTTTGAATTTAAATTGCACAGTTTTTTAAAATATCTTGATATAAACTACTAAGTATGTCATATATTCTGTTAATAGGACATACTGGTGAATTTGTTAATATTCCAATGGTCTTTAGCAGTTCAAATAGTTGTATTTAATAGATCTCGAAGGACCTAATACACAAATCATAATCTTCTCATATACTGTAATAACAGATTTGCTACTAAAAAATTTAATAAGCTTTTCAAATAGTTGCGAAGTAAAAACGAATATTTTTGTAGTTTAGAAATTTACAGTATAGAGTAATGTTGTTAGTTAAAATATCCTATTTTGTCAAATATTTAAACAATTTTGTCATGATATTACTTTTTGTCAAAATGTCAAAATTCTAAATTTGACAAGATGACTAAATAGTTGACTAAATAAATACTATATAACTAAATGCTTAAATTAGTGGTAAAATAAAATCTTTAGATTTATCATCTCTAATATTCCAATGCTACAATATAAATTAGATAACTACATAGCATAGTCATGCTAAAAACCAGAAATGTGGAGTATATAAATGATAGATGTTTTTGAATACAGAATACCTATATATTTAATTCTTATCATTATATATTCAATATTTATATAATTAAACCTGCTTGATAGGGGCAAGAATCATTTTAGATCAAATCTATATTAAGATATATTGAAATCTACAAAATAAACAAGTTCGGATACTTGCTAACAATAAGTTTATAGACATTTCGACATTATTTAGACAATTTTGGTATAATTTAGAATTTCAGCATTAATTTAGAATTTCGGCAGACTATATAAAATGTCGAAATATTCCTACAAATTCAAAAAATTTCGGCTAACAACATTAGTATAACGAATTTCAATTTCGTTTTTTTATTAATTTGATAATGATTAAATTTATTTAAGAAGTACTAATTTTCCCACCTATGATTGCTTCTACCAATTATTCACATATCGGAGTATCTGTGCTATTAATCAATTTTATAGTACTCCGGTAAGAAAAATTAGTAAACCTCTTAATCAGTTTGGAATTCCATTACAGCACAAGCTGATTTCGGAATTCATAAAAATTCGATATTAATCTTTAAAAAATATATGAATATTTAATTTATCTGCTTGATCAAATAAAAGGCATTAACAAGAGCAAGTTAATTTTTTTGAAATTTTGATTTTCTTTGAATGTTTAATATTCGGGGTTCAAAATTAAAATTAAACTCTATTTTATTTTTCCGGTTTATAATTCAACATAGCAAAATTACTATTTGAAAAGTCCAAATGTGCGATTTTTTGTTAATTTTGAAACCCATTATAATCATTAGGGGGTTCAAAATTAACAAATAAGTGATGCTATTTCAGAAAAATAAATAATATTCTCTGATTTTAATATTGAAATTCCCATTTGGAATTTTATCTTGCCCAAATGATCTGAAATTTTTTCTTAAATGTCAAAATTTTTACTTTGGATCTTGGGCCATATAATCATGATTTTGGACATAGGTTATATTAGTCATATTAAATGTTATTAATTAATTAAAAAAAAACAATAATTTTTTTTTTACTATGATTATTACTACTGTACTATTTTGTCATAAAGTCATAACCGTTATGACTAAATGACCCATGACTGGTCATAAGGACCATATAGGTTATTTAAGGTAACAATAATATAATTAACACAAGATATATACTATATAATAGTAAAAGCCGAGTATTATTTAAACCAGTGTTATCACTTGGCCACTTGGCACTTGGCCGGCCATTGGCCGAAAAATTATTTGACCGAGTAAAACAAAGCTAGTAATATAATTGGCTAATATTAGGCCAAAGTTTGCCAAAGGCCGCAAAAAATTGCCAACACTGTTCTAAAAATAGCATTATTATTCTATTAAGATAATGTTTTAATGATAAAATAAAATGGCGTTATAATTAGGGTTAGGGCGAAAAAACTTATCGTACAAATAGGGAACCGGTATTTCCAAACCCCCCTAGCGCACCCACAAAAATTTTCCGGAAACGTGATTTTTGACCAATTAAATCCCAAGATCAGGTGTACTGCGGCCTAATTAAAAATGCTCCTTGTGAAATTTTACTATTAGGCATTGAGTTAAACTACAACGCTGTTTTATTCTTAATAAAAAATTACAGGGAGTGGAAAATTTTTGTGGGTACGCTACCTAAAATTAGAGTGTCCAGAATTCTGCTGCTCTAATTGAAAAATTCTGCTGAGATTCCCGTTAAATTTGCAGGTTCTGCGGTGCGTATAAATAATACTTTAAAAACAAAATCAGAAAAAAATCAAACAAAAAGAAAACCTAATTTTAAACACAATAGACTGTATCCACCAATAGATTATAATTCGGAGAGCAGGATAAGAGCAGAATTCTGCGCAGATTCTGCCACCGCAGATTTCTGGACACTACCCAAAATGTATTTTTTTTGGTATTTCCACACCCTATGTAGATCACTCATTTTTTAAAACTTTTATCGAAGGTATCTCAACAGCCACTAAATGAAATTCGATAAGCTTTTTTTCTTTGAATTCTATGGATTCATGAAATTCAAATAAAAAAAAAATTATTGAATTTTATCAGGTGGTTGTCGAGATACTTTCGATCAAAGTCATGCATAAATTTGTCGCGGCTAACATTTTAATAGACTTAAAATTTTTCTAAAACTTTCATCGAGCTATCTTGACAACCACCTAATGAAATTCGATGAACTTTTTTATTTGAATTCTATGAATCCATAGGATTCATAAAAAAAATTTCATTGGGAGATTGTTGAGATACCTTCGATCAAAGTCATGCACAAATTTGCCGCTGCTTATGTTTAAAAATTTTCCAAACTTTTTATCGAAGATATCTCGACAATCACTCAGTGAATTTGATAAAATTTTTTTTTATTTGAATTCTATGGATTCACAGAATTCAAATAAAAAAATTTTTACCTAATTTCATTAGGTGTTTGTCAAGATAGATTCGATGAAAGTTTTAGGAAAATTTTAAACGTCTATTAAGATGTTAGCCAACAAAAAAGGGGTGTGGAAATAACGGTTCCCTACAAATATTATGAAATTTCACGGGGTATTTAAATTAACGTTAAGCCGCAGAAAAACTCGATTTTTATGTTACACCTTTTATTGGTTAAAATTACAAGGGTAACTCAGTTTTCTGTGGGGGTTTAGCGTTGTCCTCTTCTCTAGTTCTGTAGTTGGTTAACTGTCTTCAGTAAATAATAATTGTGATATTTTTGATTTCTCTGCATAGTAAATATTTAGCTTTCTTACGGAGCTAAAGACAATAAAATAAATCTTTTATATCTTGTTAGTGAAACGTTACGTTCTCAAAAAGTTCTTTAAAGTGTATAATGTACGTACGTACGTACTAGGTTGCCTTAGGAATAGGATGTTTTCTCGTATTTCAAAACCGCCTTTTTATTCTACTGCATCCTTTTTAACATCTAAATCCTTAAAACAAAAAAATTTAACTAGCGTTAAGTTAAAACCAGTTTCTCATACAATTTTACATTCGCCTTTCTCCAGCTATCATGAACAAAAATTAAAAGGCTGGCGAAAATATGCATCTCAATTTCGTTCAAAACCAGCATCTTACGTAATTTCATTTGCTGTTTTACATGAATTGACAGCAATCGTACCAATTCCAATTATTTATATTTTCCTTTCAGCTACTGGCATTGAAATACCTTTTCCGCAACAAGTTTTAGACGAAGGAAATAAATTTATTAATAAAGTTGCAGTTTATTATGGGTACTCACCTTTTGAAGATGGGAGTAGAAAGCTTTTGAATCTTGCCACAAGTTATGCAATTGTTAAGGTATGATTTTTTATGTGACGCACTTTCAATACTGTACAGTTATTAATAAATCAACGCACGTAAAAACTTTGATAATATTTAAAGGCATTAATGCCTGTTCGTATTGCGGCCTGTGTAATGATGACTCCTTGGACGGCAGAAAAAGTTGTAGGGCCTATTACTGGCGTATTCAAGCGCATTGTTGGCAGAAAATGAAAACATCGTAGCTTTCGGTAAATAGTACCCGGTGTGACAAATAGAGTAGATCAATTTTTAAAACATCAATTAAAATTTATCAGCCAGATTAAGTTTTTACTGGGCTGGCCGGTTTAGTAATTGGGCCTTAGTACGTACGGTGGTTTGAATCGCTATCAAATGTCCTCCCAAAGTCGAACGTTAAAATTAATTGAGTCTATTTCAAGTGCCACTTATTTGTTCCACTACCAGCTAAAATTTCTGTCACGCTCGTATTTAACGTTATTTGGTTGTATATTTCCCAATCCCATTTCGAAATGGTCATCATAAAAGAAGATAAGTTACAATTGATCAGCAGATCTTTTAAAAAAATCGACTGATTAATTATTATCTAGGATCACTATATACAAAGCATATTTTACATCAATTTCTACCATTTTAATACCAAGAGATAACCATTCACCCAATAATATCCAATTTCTCTTGTAATCTTATTTAAAGAATTATTGTAAGGTTGATACCAGTTAAGGCAATTATTTACAGATTTGTTAATATATTCAGTAGGGTGATGACTTTTGAAACAAATCCTTTACATATTCGCGAACAGTTTCATCCAGAGTCTCGTAAATCTCCTTACAACCTAACGGACAGAAAGAAAATTAACAAGTAGTGCAAAATCAAGCATAGATTACAGTACAAGCACTACTAAGAAAAGACAA